GCAGGAGCTTTGTCTTTCCTCCCTAGCAGAAGGAGGATTTAGCACAGCCAGCAACGCAAGTTCAGCACATCATGTTGATTCTTGGACAAAGAGTTTTTTCTTTGTTAATGGGCTGACTGGAGCTTCATACACTATGAAAAAAGCAAACCCAGTCTGTGAGTAGTGAAATCATTTGGGCTGTCCTTGGGTTTCCTGGCTCTGAGTGAGTGCCTGACCAGGAGAGCAGAAACTGCGTGTTACTGAGAGTGCCGGTGTCAGGTCCATACTGCGGGATCTGCTCCGGGAACAGGCTTCCCTTTCACGCGTGCAAATACCTACGTTGAAAACCCAATTCCCAGACTTTTTCTCCCTCAGAAAGTGGAAGCAAACACTGACAATGAGTAGAGGCTGGGAGCTCAGTGGGCCTTGGGGACGGCTGTGGGGATGAGAGCTTTACTCCCAAATAGGACTGCATTGCTTTGCTTTAGTTTATCAAATAATCACATAATCACCGCTGTAATTTATAACAAAGTTTAGAATTTACTTCATATTTTTTGTACTTCTGTGTAGTTGTATAGAACCTTCTTCCACCTTGTTTTAACTTGTTTTTTCTTTTTAAAAAAATTCTACTGGAGGAGGAAAAAATAAAAAGTCTTACCATGCAAACTTAGAGTGTTGCAAACTTGAATGAGAAGAGTCATCTAAAAGGTACAGTTGTGTTCAGCAATTAGCATCCACAAAGATTAGGAAAGAAGAGGAAATTTTATCTTTAAAATAAATTGTCATGAAATCCCAGTCCAGGGATTGACCCTTGAAGGGAATTCACCCCTGAAGGGGAAGGAGATGTCATGCTCACAAAACAGGCGGTGTTGGCTCAATTATGGTTGGCAGACGTTCAGGTACTTGGAAGGAGGGAAGCATTAGGGAACATTTAATAATATTATTATTACTGCTCCAATGAATCATACTGAATACTGAATAATAATGTTATCATACTGAACTGTAACAGAAAAAATAAGAGTACTCGTTAGAATTACAGAGTACTATTACCTTTTCCCAAATACTTTTCTTTACTAATTAAAGCTAGCCTGGGGACTCCTGTGCCACTCTGAGGCAGAGCTATTGAATGAAAATCTATGGCAATCTCATACTTTTTGGTAAAATGTCTTAGATTGCTGTCCTGGTTACTGTCACCAGATCACTGTTGATGGGAGGATGTTCGCTTGTGGCAGTGGACATAAAGTCCTCGTGAAAATGGCATTGGTTATAACCTGCATAGTTCCCTCGTGTGGTTCTGCAGGTTATAACTGATGGGTGGAAGGTGGAGGACGGTGTCTTTCATGAGCGCAAACGGAAGTTTTGTTGAAGAGCCTCCAGAGACAGCAGGGTGCGTGCACCCACGCACAACGGCCGAGCACGGTGGCCACACAGGGCACAGAGGGTTCCTCCGCTGGGGAAGGCATAAAGAGCCTGTTTTCTGTTTTGGGTTGTCTTCCTGCATCCAGAAATTTCCTGCCTGTCAACAATTGTTTAACAGCCATGGTGCGGGGAATTTATTAATTAGATTAGCCACACTAGATTAATATTAGACTTCAAGCCAATCTACTCTAATATGACATCCCCAACACAGCATAATCATTGTGTCCCCCTTAAAAAGCAAGGCAGGTACTGAATAAAACATTGAGCCAACCTTTCCAGTAGGAGTTCTTCCTGATTAGGAGCCAGGACTACTGTGTGGTGCTTAAGGCGAAGGTTTTCCTCGCAGCATGTTTGCTGACTGTTGTTCTTGACATGAAGACTCAGTTTCACAGGTGTTAACCTAGCCGCTTTGCGAATCACTGCAGTTACTTTAAGATAAAAGCATTCTTTTCCCTGTTTGGTTGCTGATACTCACATTCATAAGGTATCTATGTGTCAGGCATGCGTAAACATCCTCTCAGGATTTACTAGTCCAGGACTCTCCAAGAAGGATGGGGCCTCCTTTTTCCATTTTCCCCAGTTAGAGGTACAGCTGGAGGAGAGCAGGGTCCAGTCAAGGCAT